CCGGCGCAGGGGGAGGGGGCGGCTCAGCCTCTCAGCAGGCGACTGCTCCTCTTCTGCCGGTGGGTCGCAGGCCCGCCTACCTTGCAGGAGTGATTGGAAGCTCTGTCCCGCCCTGGGCCACTGGGCCTTTTCTGTCGGTGGTCACCCTTCCCCTACCTGGCAGGCGAGGGGGGTGGGGGGCGGCTCTGCCCCTCAGCAGGCCGCTGGGCCTGCTCTGTCTTTGGTCCCAGTTCCCTCTACTATGCTGGCGCAGGGGGAGGGGGCGGCTCAGCCTCTCAGCAGGCGGCTGCTCCTCTTCTGCCGGTGGGTCGCAGGCCCGTCTGTAGGGTTTCTTGGTATTTTTTTTTCCAGTTTCATTTCATTATGATGTGATAAAATGCAAGAAATCATATCTTTTTTTTTTGGTATTCACTAAGAGTTGCTTTGTAGCCTAAAATTCAAGCTAGTTTGGAGAAAGTTCCACAAGCAACTAAGAACATATAAGAATATTCAGTTTTTGTTGGATGAAATATTACGTAGATGTCTGTTAAGTCCATTTGATTCATAAAATTGTTTTGGTCTAAAGAGACTTACTGGTTTATGTATGGATGACCCATCTGTTGGTGAGAGAGGTGTATTGAAATTACCCACTATTATTTTACTGGGGCCTATGTGAGGTGATTGCTTTAGAATCATACATAGTAATTGAGTTCATCCCAACAAATTTACGATCCTCTCCCTTTTGCCTCCTCATTTTTATTCTTATCCTCCCTCCCCTCTTCCATGTCACTTTATATATAAATACGTAAATATTTATGATAGTAAATATTTATGCCTCAAATTTTACATAAAATAGGAACTACCAAATTCATACAATTACTATGTATGATTCTAAAGCAATAATAACATTTGAGGCATAAATATTTACTATCATAGCTTTATGCGGGATTGTTCTCTTTACCACTAAGAAGTGATCTTATTTTTCTCTTGTGGTTAATTTTGACTTGAATTCTGCTTTGTAAGGTATAAAAGTAGCTAATCCTGCTTGTTTTGTGGTTTCATTCACATGGTATATCAATTTCCATCCTTTTACTTTCAGTTTGTGGCTATCATTGCCATAAGATGAGTGTCTTACAAACAACATAGAGTTGGGTCTTGTGTTTAAAATTCATTCTTCCAATTATCAAGAATACAAGCAATAATAAGTGTTGGTGAATATGTGGAGAAAAAGGTACCCTCATATATTCCTGGTGGGACTGCAAATTGGTGCAACCACTATGGAAAGCAGAATGGAGATTCATCAGAAAACTTGGATAAATGTGATGAATAAAACAGGCAATGTGTCTGCCACAGATACATGTCAATTTAATTAGATATTATCAACAAGTCCACATGGGAACTTTGCTAGTTTTCCTCAGATTACTCTGGGTTCAACGTGGAACATGGCTGAAGACAGAGACCAGGTAGGGACAATATTTTCCAGCAGTAGAGGGAAATTGACTGTGGCAGTGTTGCTGAAGTGGGACAAGAGATAAGAATTAAAGAGGACTTCTCAAATCTGATTTGAGTGACTGGGTAGTGAGGTACATTTCTTTTACTGAGATGGAAATCCAGAAGAAGGTATGGATAAAGAGAATGAATTTTTAGAATTGTACTCTTTTCTCACAAAAATTGATAAGCTTCTGTTCAAATAGCTCACTAAATCATATTTCTAAACCCATATGTCTAGTTTTGGTTAAAATTGCATGTGTGTATATATGTAACATTCATCACAGATGTGGTGAAGATGTTGAGTGTAGAACACATACTCAACAGTGGGCTTTTTGTGAGAGCATTATTCCTGATATAAGATTCTCAAGAATCTGGAAAGTCCTGTTTTACTTCTAGGAAGGATGCTTAATCAAGGGTCTATATAGGTCTACATTTGAGAGACTGTGGATGGATGATCGTTTGGAGAAACCTATAATGTTTGTATAGCTGCTACTTACTACTAGAGTTTCAAAATATGGAGTAAGTTATGGATCTGCATTCATGCCACCAAACTCCTACTGTTCAGTCTTTTCTATAGGCTCTTACAAAATCTTCTTGTAAAAGGCATTCCCTTATTTCCTAAAGATAAGCTGACAAAAGATAGCAAGACATACAGTGTTTAGAACTTTGATTGTGTTCCTACTGGGGACAAATGTACAGGAACCAATGTGCTGATTATCACATAGATTATTAAAGAAAATAAGGTACTGGAATGAATAATAAACCAAATAATCATTTGTAACATGTTACATAAACAGATGCATTTTTACTAAAATGAAGTAGGACAACTTCAAGCTTTATAGATGGATATGAAGCCAAAATATGTATTTTTTCATATGTAAGATCTAACGGGGAGGGTCACCACATGAGAATGCAGAGACTGTGAACTGTAAAACTCCAAGGATGAGATTCATCTAAGGTGTTATAGAATTCTGTACAGTTGTATGATGTGGTAGTCTAGGTAAGAGTTAGGACTATGTGGAAAGACAAGGTAGAAATAATCCCAACCCAAGGGAAGAAGCCATTTTGGGCATCAGAAATAGGGGGTGAAGGTCAGAGGGGAAGACTGGGGATGCAGAAAAGGGCTTGCCAAGAAGTCTAGCATGGAAAATGACTGATTTTTACCTGAAATAGGGAGAATGGATGTTGAAGAGATGAACACAAGTATTTACTATTGGAGGGAAGGATATGGAAAGACAAGTGGGAACTGGATGCTCAGAGCAGTCCTCTGAGGGCAGGTGTTTAGCTTGTGACAGTGTGACTGGCCAACTCCAGGGCATCATCCACTTGGATGGCTGCTGCTGCAGGTTTTTTTCTATCAGGAACCCTTCACACAGCTGATTCTCTGAGGTTGGTACAGAAGCTGTTCCTTCCCACATAGGGCCGACTCTCTTCCTTACTGGGAAACAGATTTACTGTCTGTTTCTAGATTCCCAGTCAGAGGTTATGGATCTATGTGTCCCTACCCAAATCTGATACTTTTTCTTGATTATTGAGACCAACCATGAGACCATAAAGGGTGCTTTGTGGTTTTAATGGGCCATACAGAGACCCTACACAACTGGTGCTATTGCTAGTTTTTCCTGCAGCATAGGTAGGGCTGGCTTTGTAGGCATGGGGTCCATGCAGTTGTCCAGAGCTTTGTGCTCAGCAGGGCTTTGAACTTGGTTTCATTGTTTTTGTCATTGCTTGAAATTTTGCTGTTGTCTTGAAATTCTCAATAATTTTAAACAGAGGCCTCTTGTTTCCATTTCGTACTGGGAAACAGATTATGTAGCCTGTCCTGACTGCAGTAATAACAATCATTCACTTTCCTTATTCTTACTAATTAACAACTAGCTACTTATGCAGATCTGGTAGTAAAACTAAGTCTGAGCCTGATGTTGGAGAGAATACCCAATATAGGGACCCACCTGAGCTTAGTAATTGTATTGTAGCATCAGAGAGGGAAATAACTATGCTGATAGGCTTTGCCTTCAGAACTCTGGGGTGACTGGGTGGAAAGGGCACAGGGAAAGTCTGAGTATTACATAGTATCACTATTGCCAACACAGAATCTCAGGCCTTTATTCCCTTCTTGGTAAAAGGCCAGGTGTCTAAACACCCCTTTCCTACACTTTCTTCACATTGACTTATATCTGCTTAGCCATTAGCTCTGGCTGAACAGGTGCTAACCTTCTAGAAAAACTAAATGTGCCAATAGAACTTCTGCCTGAACAGCACAGTTCCCAAATGCCCTGCTCCATGACTCATTTTCCTCTTAATGCCATTAAAGCAAATCAAACCTTCTCAGTAATCAGGACATTTCAGCTTATTTCCTTCTCCCCTAATCTTTTGTGACTTCCAATTTAAACCAAAGGCCCGTTTTTGTCAACCTTGCTAATCAGACCAAATAAATTATGCCAGGTCAGAAAGTCTAGTCCATGTTCAAATATTGTTAGAAGTGACCCATGGACTCAGCTTATAAGAATTTCATTTTAGTTAACTTCCATATCAGCAAATAACTCCTGCCAAAGCCACATGAGATAAGGATGTAAATGAGTGGATAAGGTTTAGTTTCTCTCCATTTCCTTATGGCAGTAAAACTCAAAGTGCAAAGTTAGAAAATCATCAGTTGGAAGGAAACTGTTCTTGTAAACTTGTCATGACAGGCTTATGAATATGTGAACCTGCTCTTAGCTTACATTGTCACTTTTATTGGTTTTATTCATCAATATGACTTCAACTCCTAGGCTGTGACTCTGAGTAATGAATGAAAATGTTTTTAATGTATTTTATTTTCTTTCTGAAAAAAAATCAATACACTGTAGCTTCAATAATTCCTATGATGAAACAAATAGTACATGGGTAGGTATGGCTTTTTAAGCAAAAAGAGGTATATATTTATATTGAACTGAAATCAGGAAAAACTATGGTTGACAGGTGGTTCTGATTTTCTTTTTTTTTTACTGGTAGATTCCATATTCATGAATTATAGCAAACCTGATCTTAGCAATTGTACTGCTATAGCAGAGCTTTTAGGTGAATATAATGCCATTAATTTATATGAATGGCACCCAAACCAAGGTCATTTTCCACAAATATCATTTATTTGGTTTTTGCACTTGTGTTTTCACTGATTAAATTGACAATTTTAACTTCTTCATGAAATTTGACAATATTATTTCTGAAAGTTTTGCATTACAAAAAATAGTACACAACTGGAGGTTAATATGAAAAAGGTCTTTATTCATCCCAATTTATGATAAATTTAGTGAATAAAATTATTAAACGTTAGTATTGGCAGTTTATATTTAATCAAACTATCCTTTCCAGGCATCTTAAAGTTATCTTTAATAGTTTATTATCACTCAGGATAAATTTAAAACTTCAGAAGTATCCTTACTCATATTGCTTTTGTTTTTTAAAACTCTGTTCTAGGTCTTCTTGAAGAGTTTCTCTTCTTTAAGATACAAATAGTGGTACTTAAAATAATACTAACAACCACAACAGACCCCACCACTGATAGCACCACTGTAGAAATATTAACTCCAGAATCATGATTAGGATGACTTTCACCAGGATTAGGATTTGATTGGCCTTCATCAGGACCAGGATCTGCTTTAGGGATAAACAAAGCCACTTGTGCAATATTGGATACTTTTGAAGTCAAATTGCTTTTGTCTACACTTTGAATGGCAATGAATATGTGGGTTATGTTTTCTTCTGAGATGTTTCCTGGTTTAAATGCAAAGGTTTCCTTGGAGTTCGCCTCTTTTGGTGATAGGTCGGTAGTGTTCACTTGAAGTGCATCATCAAAATTGTCTCTTAGATCAATGATACTTCCACTTATTCTTATGATATACTCTTGGACTAAGAAAAGAGTTACAGGCAGTTTAGTAACTGTAGCATAGATACCATAGTAAATTTCTTTCCATTTACTCTCAAAAATGTTGTTTACTTATGCATAGTGTATACTCACATAAAAAACATTACTGCTTTTTAAAGAAACCTGAATTCTGACTTTTAAGCTCCGCCAAATGCATAAGAAGTAAAACCATGTTAAAATATCTCCTGTTTGATTGATTAAAAAATATCAGATTATAAAATTAAAAGTTCAGTGAGCTGTCAGTCAAAAACTGTTCTTCCCTAACCTGCCCATACACCCTTGCTTTTGCAATGAGCACCTTCAACTTAAGTTGAAACCACATGATACTTTATGCTTACCTGTTCCAACATCAAAATTATCTCCTGGCGCAGTCCATGTTAGGTTGATCTGATCCCCCTCAGATGTGGCATCAAGGTCTGTGATTTGACTTGGAGGGAACAGGTCAGGCAAGGGAGCATTTGTAGTGTCTGGAACTTGTGATACCACAAATGCACCTCCAGATGCTGTTCGGCTGAAATTCTCCAATATTGTCTGAGTATCCTCATTAGTTTCGGGTCTTGGCGGGTTCACTTCAATTACCCCTGCATTAAAAATTCACTAGTTCAAAGTTAGCAAACAAATCACCTTCTTCATCCCATTGGTTTTTCCCCTCTTCATATGTATAGTCAAATTGTTACTAAGTCTTCTGACACAATCATAAGCACCAATTGCTGGGATAATTCACGTTTTAGTATCCTTTAGGATAAAATGGGATAACAAATTGCTCTAAAATGAGGACTACACTAAACAAGAATAAAGGTATATAATAATTCAATAATTCAATATATGCCTTTAAAAAATGTTGCTTTATTTCTCAAATTATCTTCAGGCTGGAATATACCTGGGGAAAAGCCAGTTTCCTTTCAACTACTCCACGCTGCAAGTGCTAAGGAATAATATTTATGATGGTATTCTAATTGCTAAGAAACAGCCCCTAAAAGTCACAAGAGAAGTAACTATGCAAAGCAAAGTTAGCAAAGAATGCATTCTTCATTCTTATCATCACCTTGCTGTACACATTTTTTCTTTTGATTTAATGAAAACATTTCAGTGTATGACAAAAGGACAGTTAGTTAAATAACACTCTGAATACACTTTGTGTTAAAATTCACAGGAAGGATTGTTCTTAACAAAATAGACTTGTAGACCAATGGTAGAGAATAGAGGACACAGAGAAACCCACATAAATAAAATTATCTCATATTAGACAAAGGTGCCAAAAATATACATTGAAGAAAAGATAGCCTCTTCAACAAATGGTGATGGGAAAACTGGAAATCCTTATGCAGCCAATTGAAATTAAGCTCCAATCTCACACCATGCACAAAACTCAACTCAAAGTGGATCAAAGACCTAGGAATAAAACCAGAGACCCTGTGCCTAACAGAAGAAAAAGTAGGCCCAAATCTCCATCATACTGGATTAAATCCCAACTTCTTTAATATGACTCCTGTAGTGCAAAAAATAAAATCAAGAATCAATAAATGGGATGGATTCAAATTTAAAAGCTTCTTCTCAGCAAAAGAAACAATCAGTGATGTGAATAGAGAGCCTACATTTTGGGAGCAAATTTTTACCACACACATATCAGATAGAGCACTAATTTCTAGGATATATAAAGAACTCAAAAATATTAACACCCAAACAAAACAAAACCCCAATCAGTAAGTGGTCCAAGGAACTGAACAGACACTTCTCAGAAGATGATATAGAATCAATCAACAAATATGTGAAAAAATGTTAACATCTCTAGCAATTAGAGAAATTAAAATCAAAACTACTCTAAGATTTCATCTCACTCCAGTCAGAATGGCAGATATTAAGAATACAAACAACAATATATGTTGTCAAGGATGTGGGGGAAAAGGCACACTCACACATTGCCAGTGGGACTGAAAATTGGTGCAGACAATATGGAAAGCAATATGGAGATTCCTTGGAAAACTTAGAATGGAACCACCATTTGACACAGCAATCCCACTCCTTGGTCTATATCCCAAAACAGCATCCTACAGTGAAGCAGACACATCAATGTTTATAGCAGCACAATTCACAATAGCTAAATTGTGGAACTAACCTATATGCCCTTCAGTAGATGAATGAATAAAGAAAATGTGGTATATATACACAATGGAATATTACATTAAAAGAGAATAAAATCATGGCATTTGCAGGTAAATGATGGAATTGGAGAATATTATGCTAAGTGAAGTAAGCCAAAATCTGAATATTTTCTCTGATATGTAGATGCTGATCCATAATGGTGATGGATGGAGAAGCATGGGAAGTATGGAGGAACTCTAGATAGGGCAAAGGGGAGGGAGAGGAGGGAGAAGTTTTGGGGGTAGGAAAGATGGTGGAATGAGATAGACATCATTATCCTAAGTACACATATGAAGACACAAATGGTGTGACTCTACTTTGTATACAATAAGAGACATAAAAAATTATGCTCTATATGTGTACTATAAATTGAAGTGCATTCTGCTAGACCTCCATAACCATCTTTAGTTGGGGCTACTACCTGTTTAGAACATCAGATAACCAGGTGGTATTTTGTTTATATTGGGATCTGTTAACATTGTCCTTCCCCTCAAAGGTGAGGTATTGGAACCCTGCAGGGGCACTACAAGCCTATAGGGTAAACATGGGAATGCCTCAGATCCACAGAGCTGGAAAGGAAGATACCCGAGCAACATGGAAAGACAAGGGAAAAAAGTGCCCCAAACAAATCAAGATACCACATTGTTAGAATCCATGGCCAGAACAACAGATGAAATTACAGCGAAGGAGTTCAGGCTGCACATAATTAAAATGTTCTGTCAATTAAAGGATGATATAAGAGAGCAAATATGAGTAGCAAAAGATCATTTGACAAAGAGTTACATAAACAAATTCAGGAAGCAAAAGTTTACTTCAATAGGGAGATAGAGGTTCTAAAGAAAAACCAAACAGAAATCCTCGAAATGAAAGAAACTACGGGGTGGGAGCTCATAACCCACTTGAATCAAATGTATGAAATATGATATATCAAGAGCTTTGTAATGTTTTGAACAACCAATAAAATAAAAAAAGAAACTATAAACCAAATTAAAAGCTCAATTGAAAGCATCACCAACACATTAGACCACTTGGAAGACAGGACCCCAGACAATGAAGACAAACTATATAATCTTGAAAAAGAATGTAGACTGCACAATGAAAATGGTAAGAAACCATGAGCAGAACATTCAAGAAATATGGGATAGCATAAAAAGACCAAATTTAAGAATTATTGGGATAGAGGAAGTCATAGAGTTCCAAAGCAAAGGAATGAACAATCTATTCAATGAAGTACTATCAGAAAATTTTCCAAATATGAAAAATAATTTGGAAAACCAAATTCAAGAGGCTTACAGGCCACCAAATGTACAAAATTACAACAGATCCACACCAAGGCACATTATAATGAAAATGCCTAACATACAGAATAAAGAGAGAATCTTAAAAGCCATGAGAGAAAGGAATCAGATTACATTCAGGGGAAAACCAATCAGGTTATGTGCAGATTTTTTAACCTGGACCCTAAAAGCTAAAAGATTCTGGAACAACATAGATCAAGTTCTGAAAGAAAATGGATGCCAACCAAGAATCTTGTAACCAGCAAAATTAAGCTTTAAATTTGAGATTGAAATAAAAACCTTCCCTGATTAACAAAAGTTAAAAGAATTTACAACTAGATATCCTCAAGGCTACTTATGCTAAGCCCCAGGCCAACATCATTCTAAATGGAGAAAAATTGAAGACATTCCCTCTAAAAACTGGAAAAAGACAAGAATGCCCTTTTTCACCACTTCTATTTAACATAGTTATTGAATCAATGGACAGAGCAATGAGACAGATGAAAGAAATTAAAGGGATATGTATAGGGAAAGAACTTAAATTAGCACTATTTGCTGATGATATGATTCTATACCTAGAAGACCCCAAAAGCTCCACCAGAAAACTTCAAGAAATTGTAAATGAATTCAGCAAAGTAGCAAAATACAAAATTAACACCCATAAATCAAAGGCATTTCTGTTTATCAGTGACAAATCCTCTGAGAAGAAAACTACCCCATTTACAACAGCCGCAAAAACAAACAAACAAACAAAAATCAAAAAAACTTGGGAATCAACTTAACAAAAGAGGTGAAAGGTCAATACAATGAAAACTACAGAACCCTAAGGAAAGAAATCAAAGAAAACCTTAGAAAATGGAAAGACCTATCTTGCTCTTGGATTGGCAGAATTAATATTATCAAAATGACCATACTACCAAAAGTACTATACAGATTTAATGCACTTCCAATCAAAATCCCTATGGCATTACTCATAGAAATAGAAGAAGCAATCATGAAATTCATCTGGAAAAATAAGAGACCATGAATAGCTAAAGCAATCCTTAGCAGGAAGAGTGAAGCAGGTAGCATCACTATACCAGACCTTAAACTCTACTACAGAGCAATAGTAACTAAAACAGTATGGTATTGGCATCAAAACAGACTGGTAGACCAGTGGTGCAGAATAGAGGACACAGAGACCAACCCACAAAATTACAATTATCTTATATTAGACAAAGGCACCAAAAACATGCATTGGAGAAAAGATAGTCTCTTCAACAAATTGTACTGGGAAAACTGGAAATCCATATGTATCAAAATGAAATTAAACTGCTATCTCTCACCATATTCAAAACTCAACTCAAAGTGAATCAAGGACCTAGGAATATGACCAGAGACCCTATATCTAATAGAAGAAAAAGTAGGCCCTAATCTCCATCATGGGGGAATTGGCCCCAACTTCCTTAATAAGACTCCTATAGCACAAGAATTAAAAGCAAGAATCAATAAATGGGATGGATTCAAACTAAAAAGTTTCTTGTCAGCAAAATAAACAATCTGTGAGGTGAACAGAGAGCCTACATCTTAGGAGCAAATTTTTACCCCTCACACATTAGCACTAATCTCTAGGGTATATAAAGAACTCAAAAAGTTAAACACCAAAAAACAAATAACCCAATCAATAAATGGGCCAAGGACATGAATAGACACTTCTCAGAAGAGGATATACAATCAATCAACAAATATATGAGAAAATGTTCATCATCTCTAGCAATTAGAGAAATGCAAATCAAAACCACTCTAAGATATCAGCTCACTCTTGTCAGAATGGCAGCTATTATGAAGACAAACAACAATAAGTGTTGGCGAGGATGTGGGGAAAAAGGCACTTATACATTGCTGGTGGGACTGCAAATTGGTACAGCCAATATGAAAAGCAGTATGGAGATTCCTTGGAAAACTGGGAATGGAACCACCATTTGACCCAGCTATCCCTCTCCTCGGTCTATACTCAAAGGACTTAAAAACAGCATACTATAGGGACACAGCCACATCAATGCTTATAGCAGCACAATTCATAATAGCTAAACTGTGGAACCAACCTAGATGCCCTTCAATAGATGAATGGATAGAAAAAATGTGGCATATATACACAATGGAATATTACTCAGCAATAAAGGAGAAAAAATCATGGCACTTGCAGGTCAATAGATGACGCTGGAGAAGATAATGCTAAGTGAAGTTAGCCAATCCTAAAAAGAACAAATACCAAATATTTTCTCTTATATAAGAAGGCTGACTCATAGTGGGGTAGGGAGGGGGAGCATGGGAGGAACAGGTAAACTCTAGATAGAGCAGAGGGGTGGGAAGGGAAGGGAGGGGTCAGGAGGTTATCAAGGATGGTGAAATGTGATGGACATCATTATTCAAAGTACATGTATGAAAACATGAATTGGTGTGAGCATAATTTATATACAATCAGAGATATGAAAAATTGTGCTGTATATGTTTAATAAGAATTGTAATGCATTCTGCTGTTATGGGAGCAATCACTGATTTTCATTTTGATGTGAGCTACTGATGTGTGTGCATCTTCTGGCTGTACTGTAGGAATACTTCAATTCACTGGGAACATGCTCTCTTGCTTGTATTTTAGTAGTAGAAATCTGATAGTGAACCTTCTGAGACAAATTATGCTTGGTGTATTCTGTTGCTTTATATCTCATTTTAAATTGAGCAGTAAGGGAATACATTATTGTAGTTGTAACTTTGCTAATATATCTATCTAGAGACCTGTTGCCATTGCTGTCTTCAGTGAAAATTTTGTCCCAGGAAAGGCAGGATTGCAATTTTTTTTTCTAACAGAATGTATTGCTGTAGTGTATTCTTGGTTATCAAAAATGCTCATGTAGCTTTGGGATTTTGAACTGGTGAATATTCATGATACACAGAAAAGCCTGATTCACACTATGATTTCAATCACACAAAATGATATGTTGTATATGGACATGCAGGTTCTGAAAGGACATGTCCAGCTAAGCTACTTGTGACTCCACGACTTTGTTCTTTGCTTGTGTTTTTCTGTTTCCTATAATGTGCATATTAAATTTTAAAATATAAAAGCAGTTTAAAAGCTAACAAACCAGGAAACACCATTACAAATAAATGTTTATTTTTAATAGCACTTGTAATCTGAAGGATAAATTCTGCTTATACTTAGGCTCATAACATATTGATTTGTTTTCATTTCCTGACCTGAAAATTTGGCATATTTTGTGGATATCATGAAGGTTTCCCAAACTAACATAATTCTAGCTAACAGTTTTTAAGTGCTTACTAGGCGCCAGGCATTATTTCAAAGCCTAGATTAATTTGGAGAGAATTAGCTAAGAACTTCATTCCAGAAGTGGGAAAAGCTATATTGTGAGTTGTAAGATGTTTGAAGCCTCAATTATATCAAACCCCAAATATTATTCATTCATTCTATGCATGAATTCAGCTGCCATGAGCTACTCACCGTCTACCACCCAGCCTGGTATATAGGCAGCTCTATTCAGTGGGTGCCGCAAGCTTCGTCTGACAGAGTCTGTTCCTCTGTGAGCCCGCACTTTTAAGTTATATCTGCCATTTTCTGAATAAGATGTAAAATACCTGGAGTAGACCCCGTCATCTTTGAAAGAATCAGCACCTTATCATAGAAATGAAGAAATAAATGATTGTAAATACAAAGAGAAATTCATGCATTTTCCCAAACAACAAGCTGTGGCCTCTATAACATGTCCTCTCCACCAGGCTTCATATTTAGGGTTTGACCTTTTGGAGAATATTTCCATTATGCTCTGTCAGATCAAAATATTGTTGAATTGAGACTCAAGTTATTTTTATACCTTTATATCCATATACCACATATACACACATTTATATTTGTGTATGTATAATAAACATAAATACCTCATATTTTTATCATTTATCAATTTAAATATATTTTATGGTACTACTCTTACCATTTCTCTGCCATTTGCTTTGCTTTCACCTTAATTTATCTAGTCATATTAATTAATCTAGTCATATGTCATCTCTGTATTTAAATCAAGAAATGTCCACAGTAGGAAAAAAAAATGACTTAGTACAGGATCTAATTCTCACTCAAGCCAACTACTATTACTTGTTTTGCTTTATCTTCAACAACTCTTTCTTTTTCTTTTCTCTGGTCTTTGCTGATCCATTAATTTTCTGTTCTGACACAGAAAAATCCCATCTGCTTTTGGAATAAAAATTGGAGGATTTCAGGAACACTATTTCATAAGTATACTTCTTGATAACACTAGCATTCCTGTCATCTGTTATATTGCAAAACACATATCTTGTGGGCTATAAATTCTAAATCAGAGGGTATGAAGTGAAGTCCTTGAACCACCACTATCTGTATCTCTATAAGTGTAAAGATATTTAGACATGTAAATTTCTCATACTACCTAGGGAAGGGCCTTGGCATTCCATATTGTAATCAAACTCTCCAGATTATTCCCTGTATGCTAAAATTTGAGAATGCCTACACTAAGCCATTGTTAATCACCAATGTCTTCTTAGGCGAAGGCATTTCAAACTAGATACTTCCCCATTAGCTAAATATTCATCTGATAAAATGCTAAGAAATCAAACAAGATATAGATAGGTTTTATATACTGCAGATAGTTTTGTGGAAAGGGAAAGAAAAAGCAAAGGACAGTGGTGTAAATATTGTCATGCCTGAAGAAGGAATTGAGTTGCATGTCAGAATAATTTGCCAATTCTAGTTGAATACAGTATTATCAAAGGACTGAAAATTACATTGTGAGAGGTACTGATACAAACTGTAATAATTCAGATGTGTATCAAATTGCTTATTTCCTTGCTCACTGACATCTTACCAGAAGGTTCTGTTGTCTAGGACCATCCAGACTCTGGAAAGGATCTATAAGCACCACACACCGATATGAACCAGGGAGACAGAAAATGACTCGCAAGTTCCCTGTTTTCTGTCCTTAAGACCTGGTATCTGATGCCCCAGTGGTGAGCCCTCCTCTTTGTGGTAACTCTGATAACCCCTGGGCCTTGGCTCTAAAGATTGACTTTTTTTCCCAGCTCTTGGGAATTTTTCCTACCAGGAGCCCAGGTTCTACCACTAGATCTCATTTGGCTGCTTGTGCTTCACCCTCCCTGAGCACACTTTCTTGACGATGTCCTCAACCTTCTGAATGAGATCTACTTAAATGATGACAGATATTGGTTGATAAACCAATGACAAACAATAATAATAACAACAAATAACATCTGTTGTCAACATTTTGATTGTAGGCTTTATCTGATACAATTTCCTGCTGTTCCTTCATTCCATAGGATTCTGTCTTACTGACCTATGATGCCACAGGGACCCTTACCATATCCTGAGTTATGAAATATAGGCTTATTCATAAAACCTGTGAATTACCTGCACCATTGTCCAAAAGTTCCAAAACTTGTGTTTTTCCACTGTTTGATTCAATGATCGCAGTC